TAGGATTTTGGGTTTAGGGTGTGCTTAGGATTTTGGGTTTGGGGTTTGGGGTGTGCTTTGGGTTTAGGGTTTAGGGTGTGCTTAGGATTTGGGGTTTTGGGTTTAGGGTGTGCTTAGGATTTTAGGGTTTGGGGTTTAGGGTGTGCTTAGGATTTTGGGATTTGGGCTTAGGGTGTGCTTAGGATTTGGGGTTTAGGGTGTGCTTAGGATTTTGGGGTTTTGGGTTTAGGGTGTGCTTAGGATTTTGGTTTAGGGTGTGCTTAGGATTTTGGGGTTTTGGGTTTAGGGTGTGCTTAGGATTTTGGGGTTTAGGGTGTGCCTAGGATTTTGGGTTTGCAATGTGCTTAGGCTTTTGGGCTTAGGGTTTAGGTTGTGCTTAGGATTTCGGGTTTAGGGCTTAGGGTGTGCTTAGGATTTTTGGGTTTAGGTTGTGCTTAGGATTTGGGGTTTAGGGTTTAGTCTGTGCTTAGGATCTTGAGTTTGGGGTTCAGGGTGTGCTTAGGATTTTAGGGTTTAGGGTTTAGGGAGTCCTGGACGAGTTCTTATCGGGTTTCATAAGGGGGTGCTTAGGTTTAGGATTTAGGGTCTCATAAGGAGGTGTTATAGGGGTCTTCCAAGCTTTCTTTATGGGTGTTGAGAAAGGTGTTAAGGGGCTTGATAGGTTTCATAAGGGTGCTACAAGATCACGGTGGTATACTTAAGAACTTTTATACAGCTGTTCAGAGGGGATGATAGGCCTGATAGGGCTGGTATTACGGGCTGTCAGGGTTTCAGTATAAGGCCTTTAGAAGTCCCATGGGGTTTTCGAGGTACATTATTATAGGAGTCAGCACATAGCGACTATGGATATTATTGCTAACTCTTCAGACTTGTTGTTGCCGCTACTGCCAATGTTAATGCAAACGCTCGATGAAGGGTTACTACGACCATGCCGGGATAAGCCCAACCCCTAAACCCTATTAGCCGTTGAAGGTTGCTTCGGTGAGTTTATCATAGAATTGTAACCACTTGTAGACCTTGGACATCTAGCGGCCTCAATCTACCCGCGCCTGCACGAAAGCCTAGCCCCAACCTCCCCCAGAAAACCAGAAGCGGAGATCAGGAGTCCCATCCCTTCCTAGATATTGAAAATCAATGTGTATATCTATACCCTATAAGCAGCCACAAGCAAAAAACATCCTAGCCCACATGGAGAAACTCGGTCAAAGTTCCTGTGCCTTGCACCCAAACCCTACAATCCTAAAAATCAGAAAATCCAAGACCCTAGACTTTAAGCGCCTCTACCGTAAAATCCTCAAACCCTCAACCCCGAAATTCCTCAAACCCTCAACCCCAAAATCCGAAAACCCCATACCCTGAAACCCTGGAGCTCCTTTCCCCCAAAAATCCTACACCCCCCAAAATTCCCAAGCATCCCAGGCTCTGCGATTTACACTAGAAAGTTTAGGGTTTAGGGGTTAGGGGTTTGGGGTTTAGGGTTTAGGGCCTAGGGTTTAGAAAGTTTTAGGGTTCAGGGTTTAGGGGTTTGGGGTTGAAGCCCTTACAGGACGCTTGGAGGAACCCCGAAGACGCAAAACCGGTCCGGGAGAAGCCCAGGAGCCATGGCTAGTGGTGCGGCTGTTGCCGCAAGCGACTCCTTAGGACGTCGCTTTCTGTGAAGGATTTAGGATTTAGGGTTTAGGGGTTTAGGGGTTTAGGGTTTAGGGTTTAGAGTTTAGGGTAGGATTTAGGGTTTAGGGTTAAGGGGTTTTGGGGTTTAGGGTAGGATTTAGGGTTTAGGGTTTAGGGTGCATCAATATCAGGGCCTTATCAGTTACGGATTTAGGGTTTAGGGTTTAGGGTCTAGGGTGCGTCAATATAAGGGCCAAATCAGTTACAAGAGTTTTGAGAATGTTTTGCCGTATATTGAGCCGTGATAAGTCTCGTCCCGCATGGGGCTCTAAAGCTTTAGGATTTGAGGCTTCAGGGTTGAGCGCTTAGGGCGGTTTAGGATTTCGGGTTTATGGTCAAGGAGTATTCTGGCAACTGAGGGAGCCCTCGAGGCTAGCATAGGGCCTGAGCAAGCAGAATCGCGTCCCCTTACGTGCGCGATAAACCAACATTAACAGGGCTGCTGTCAGGATTCGAGATAGGGGCCTTATTGACAGCGTGACAAGCGGGTCTTGACTTTGAGGGGCATATGTGCAACAAGATTTTAGTGGACTATCAGTGCACTGAGGGCTTTGGAGTTTTAGGACTAAGGCTTTATGGTTTGCGGGCTTAGTGGCTTAGTATTTAAAGAAAGTCTTGGATTTCAATTTCGGGTTCAGGGTTTGGGGTGTAGGGTTTAGGATTAAGGGCTTGGGGTTTATGTTTAGGGTTTAGCTGATTGCGCAGTGTGGACTGTATGCGCTGCGGCTGTCCTGCAAGGTCCGGCGTGTGGCTGGGCAGTGGTGGGTGGTATGTCGCGGTGTACCCCCACTGGTTGACGTCTGGAGAGGAACTGTGTACACAATCGGTCCCCCCCCCCCCCAACAATGGTGGAGTGCATGTGGCGCCGGCTGGGCTGCTGCCGGGCAGTGCCGGGAACAGAGTGCTGCTGGCGGCTGTGGCTTCTGCGTCGTCGTCTGCTGCCCAAGGACCAGTCTCCGGGTCGCAGGGCGGAGCGCAGTATCCCCACTTGTCTTGGGGCGTGCGCCCGACCTGCCACCTCTGGCGTGGTGTGTGGGTCTGGTTTCTCAGGACGTCTAGAGTCTTTGAGGGTTTCGGTTGATGTCAGGGGCTCGAATTTGAGAAAGGGCTCTTGCAGATTTTGGAGTTGGGATGTTGGTCTTGGGGGTAGCCGCTTGGTTCTGTGCTGTGAAATGTAGGCGCCTTTTTTTCTTTCAGAGAGGCTCAAGGTCCGAGGGACGTGCCTATGACAAGCAGTTGAATTCACAAGTGAGACAAAACTGAGCTGCATCGACATGAGACCGCTCGCCCTGCAATCGCAGGAGCCAGTTCGAGATCGGAGCAACAACATCAGGAGCATCCGAAAACATAAGGTGTACCGGCGTACCTGACAAAGCCATCTGTACAACGGGAGTCAGGACGCGCAGAACACCCTCCGTCCAAATGCGAGCATCACGAAGAGCACGGATAGGACAAGGAGCTGGCTGCAAGAGGGCGGGCCTGGAAGAAGGCCGAGCGGGAAAGAGGATGCAGTAACCGGAGGCCTGAGGGCAGGCCCCTAGTTCAAAATCGTGGGCAGACAACTGGAAAGGAGGAACTGATTCTAGTTCCCATCTGGCAAGCCACTGAAGGTCAAGGCGCCCAAACCAACAGACCGAACGCTCCCGATTGATCGTCGTAACACAGGGAGGAGCACAATCGGGGCAAACTACCGCATCTGAGCCAGACACAGTAGGGGCATTGCCAGCAATTTTGTTGCACAAGTGCACCGGATGGAGAATAAGGAGCACATCAGAGCAGACAGCCGCCAGACATTCATCAACGAGGGCATCCCGCCAGTGGAGCAAAGTATATCGCAACACAGGCAGCGGCGCGATGTGCTGCACAACTAAGTCATACAGCTCTTGATCAGTTCCGGAGGAAAAGCCTCGTAGAGCCTGCGCAAGATCAGGGCAGCTTTCTGGCCGGACTGAAGAAGGAAGCACGATCCCAGGCCCCGTTTCCGCGGGAGCCTGCTCATGAGAGGTGGACAATTCCAGCGGAAACAAGAGATCAGCCGCAAGGGGATCGGCAATTCTCTGCAAGCAACGCTGCGAATGCTTAAGATGCAAGCATAATTTAGCTTTGGTAGCCAGAGTGAGCCCGCACGCTCGACAGCGTCGTCCGACAGCAAATGCCTGTGCAGGGTGGTGGTATCCATGCACGCGATGCGCATGAGCGCCCCATGCCTGTCGTGTTCGAAAAGCTATGCCGCAAACTAGGCAAGCATGGTGGCAATCCTCAAGGCCTGAGTTAACCGGCGGCGCAGAAGGCGGCCAGACCGATCGCGTAAAACTGGCACAAGCAGCACGAACTCGCCCCGCCTCAATGTGCCAGAGTTCGGCCCGCTTAAGCAAACCTTTGAACCTGCCGGGAGTGTGTAGCATAAGGCGCTCCCACACCGGCCAAGAGTCACGGAGAGGCCCGAGTTCACAGACTCCGGAGACAGCTTCCACCAACCAAGCCGCGGCAGCAGACAGGCCGTCGAGGTAAGGGGCGAATTGCTGAAGGAGAGCCCAGGCGAAGTCTGGTCCAGACCGGGTCAGAAGCAACAGAAAACGCAAGCGCTCGGCGTGAAGCAGAGAGCGCGGGCACGGGAGACCTGTTCTGGCGACTATCTGAACCTCAGTGACCCGCCAGTCCTCACTGCGCAACCCTAGCAGCTGTCGAAACAGACCAATAAGGCCCCCAGAAAAGGCCTGCCACTCTCCCTGATTAAGCAATGGCCAACTTCCACAGCCGGAAAGGACCGCGGCAAGAACATGGGATCTAAAAAGAGTGGCTCTACGATCAACACTGATTCGCTTACATGCAAAGAGGCGCTGACGCCCTTCTCGGAAGGCCGCCCGTCCGGCAGACAATCTGTATTTAACCTCCTCAAGCAGGCTACCTCCGCATGTAATTACAGACCCCAGGTGCTTGTAGGTAGTGACAAGATCGAGCCGGACAACGCCTGAATTTTCAGGCCAGATCGGCAGACGTCCTTTGGAGACTGTAAAAAGGTTTCTGCGGGCCGCTCGAGCACCTCGCCCGTGAAGAGCTATCACAGCAGCCGTCTTTTTGGGCCCGAGGTTGGCAGTGAGCCCGTGTTCAGGAAGCACATCAAGCGTCGCAGCCGCCACAGCGCTAAGGGCTGGTCGAAGGCCTTGCGTTGTCGCAGAGAAAACGAAGGAGGCCAAGTCATCCAAAAACCACATCTTGCACCCCCATGACCGTAGGTGCACCTCCGGCAGAGTCAGTAAAGGGCCGGCGACACCCATCCCAGGGGATCCTGGGTGCAGTTTCAGAGATGTCACTGCTGGCACGCCGAGTCAAGACCCTAGGTTAAAGACTACGTCCGCTAATGCTCCACCCGGTCGGGTTCCACGGTGGGTACGAACTAGCGTGTTGTCATTAGTCAACACAAACCATGTATGACTATGCAACTCTCGCGCCAGTTCTACAAAGAGGGGTGCAGCTGACTGCTCCTGGAGGACAGGGTGCTCTGCAATATGGGCTTGCATCATCTGCAGGTCCGGAGCTGAAAGCCCAAGGGAGGCAGCGATAGAACATACGCTCCTATCGCCGAGCTGAGGTCCTAAAATGGTCTCCCGGACGACGCTGTAATATGCGGCAGCAAGATCAACGAACAGTACCGCTGCTGAGCAACTCTGTGCGCGGACACTGTAGAGGAATGCACGCGTGCAGAAATGTCCAAAGTGCGCGGAACAGCCTTTACGTCCTCCTAGCTGAACAGGGAGAGCGTGCGGGAGCCACTGGGCTGTGGCCAGTCCCCGCATGGACCGATGTACAGCTTTGGAGATACATGATTGCACAAGAATGCCTCTGTGTCCAGCGCAGTGATGCTGAAGCGCTGGGTTCGGTTTAGGGATATGATGCAACAGACCACCTTTTAGGCCTACCGCTTCCGAAGCGCGAAAGACGGTCTTGAGCATCATAGGCCAGAAAGCCTGGGCCATCTCCGAGCTGAAGCAATGACATATTGCCGGGGGAAGAAGGTCAGGGCCACAAGCTTTTTGGGCGGAAGTGGTACGAAACGCCTTCTCGAGGACATGTATGGTGGGGACATCTTGAATCTCAATGGTGTCAGTGCCCTCGAAGCGGTCATGCCACCGCCGACAGGAGTCGGCAAGCTCTTGAGGTGTTGTAGTGACGCCGTCCTCCAGCGCGCTGAAGTGCTCCCGCCAAGCGTCCTGAGCAGCCGCTGCGGATTCGCAAACCGCTCCGTGCTTATCGTATAACAGCGGCAAAGGGTCAGCTGAGGCCTTACGGAAGCGCTTGGGACGGAGGACTCTCTTGACTGCATGATGCAATCCGCCTCGAGAGCTGTGCTGAATGCTGTCTGCAACACCATCGAAATACGCGGCCCTATCAACTCGGCACTGTCGACGAAGCGCTCCACCGGCCCGATGCAGCAACATGCACGAGAGCGCAAGGCGATGTCGCAGCTCCCAGAGCCACCTGCCGGTATAGAGATCAAGAAATGTAGCGGTGCCCGAACGCCACGCATCAAGCGAGCACCTGAGGAGCGTCCAGCGAAGCGCTGTTTTGCGTGAGCGAACTCTGTGTCGAAGAGTACCCACCAATTTGTGCAACTCCCGAGAGGCATCAGAAAGATAAGACTCCCGGAGCCCTCGAGCACGGGCAGGAAAAAGCTCAACCAAGCCAGAGTAGAGGTGATCAACCAGAGCCGCGGCATGCTCACTTACATCAACCTCCCATCCAACTCGTGGAGCAGACTGAATGACTGACCGGACCTGGGCGGCGTTATCCGGATGTGCCACAGCTGCGCTGTCAATGCGCTTCGCTTTGTTAATCCTGTGGGCAGAGGCAAAGCGAAGCTGCACAACTACACAAGACGCAAGGTGATCGATACAAACATGGCCAGTGGTAATACCCGGATCCACCCATGAAAGAACCTGCCCAGACTTCCAGTGTGCAGGCACCCCAATATAGTCAGACCGAACGAACTCTCCATTGCGATGCAAGCACAAAGTGCCGCCTTCACCTTGCATTGTGTGACTAAATGTGGAAGGTACCCAGCTGCAGACATCAGCCAAGAGGGCGTGAAAGGCCTCTCCTGACGCATCCTCAGGGTCGGCTTGGAAATCTCCAACCACATCACTAGGGAGGGATCCTAATCGACAATTACCGTCGACGAGGAAAAGCCACGGCTTACCCCCTCCAAGAGCCCTACATAACTGGCTGATCCGATCCCACCACCCAACGCGCACGGGCTCAGGATGGGCGCGGTGAGGGGCATGGCCGACCAGTACACAAATGGGGGAATCGCGGAAGAGGACATTCGCGATGAGCGCCGTAGCCTCGCTATGCAAGACAGCGACGGTATCAGTCCGAAAAGGACCCTTCTCGGAAATCCATAGCTCGACACCGAAGCATGAGTTTGCATCGCAGCCAGAGGAAAAACGACGGAAGGACCTGCAGCGATATGTGCCCGGCGGAGTCCTGCATTCCTGAAAACCTGCTAAGTGGACCGCGCGAGCCTCAAGAGTAGTGGCCAGCAAGGTTGCACGTCCAACAGCTCCGTGTAACCCGGACGCCTGTGCAGAGCGCACGTCCCCAAGAAGCGACAGCACATTGTAGGTGACTAGCCGTGCATCTACACTGCATGTTGGCTGGCTGACTGGAGTGCCAGCGTCCGCATGGGGAAGTGCTCTCAAGAAAGGAGCCATGACATCAGCTCCGGGAGTGACTTGCAGGGTGTCACCATGCCAGGACAGAAGGTCATGCTGAAGTTGGGGAAACTCCTCCTGCCGGCAACGGGACAGGCATAATTGAGGAAGCCACGCGCTGACGCCGCCTCCTTGCGCCATCCAAGTATCGAGGCTAAGGCAAAACGGGAAAGTAGAGCTGCGTCCTCTGGCACCCAACCCCGCGAGGCCATCGGCCAGCTCATTGGACGCATCCCCGGCATGCCCGAGAACATGTTGGTAGTGAACTGCCCGATCGGACAGACTGCGCAGAGCAATGAAGAAGTTTCGGGCGACTGTGCAAAGTGGGTGGTCTTTCATATACGCATGACCTGCAACACCATCAAGGGCAGAAATATTGTCCGCCCGAAACAAAAGGGCGCCAGCGAAAGGTAGTTGCAGAGCAGCAACAGCTGCCCACAAGAGCCCGCAAACTTCTGCAAGGTAGGCATCCAGAGGACCCAACGAAGCATCTGCATTGGGAAAGTGTGTCCTGACATCTTCCAGACTGCCGAAATAGCACCCTATAAAGATGCCCGGAAGACAGAGATCGGAGGCAGAGACGACACTGAGGCTAACGGCCCAGCCAGCTTGGCCTGTGCGATTGCAATAGGACCCGTCTGAAGTTAGCACCAAAACATCTTCCGCACAGGGCGTCAGACCAACCACGCCGTCCCGAAGCCAAAGGTCGAAGCGCTGCCAGCCAGACACATCATCAGGAGGCCCCTGCAGATCCGCAAACGAGCAAGGCCGTGTGAGCTCATCAAGGTCAGCCTTGGAGCAAGGGAGTAGACACTGGCGACCGTCCAATGCGAACACAGGCACCGAAGCCGAATTTTGCTGAGGGCATTCGGCGTCATCGGGAAAATGAACCAGCTCACACAAAGCAAGTGTGGTGCGGCCTCGTCCCACAGTGCGGTCACGTCGGTGTTGAAAGTGATCAGTCAGTGCCTCGAGCAAGATGCTCGCCTCAAAAAAGCAGGTATCATCTCGACGGAGCGACTGCTCCAGCACGGTGCAGCCGTCAACGTCCCACCTTCGCAAGTCGTGGGGGGCATCAATATGCACAGCGTTGGAAGCACGGCAAGGGGTCGGCAACGGCCGTGCCGGTATACCATCTGAGAAGGTCACCCTGCCGGCGCAAACGGTACCAGCAGTAAGGGCAGCGGCCTCATAGACTCTGGTGCAAGAGGCAGCCGGACCTGCAAGAGGAGGCAGCTGGACAGCGACAGCTCCGGGGACCAGCAGAAGGCCGATGAACAAGTAGACGGCGAAAGGACACGCCTGTCGGAGTGCAACCGACCGCGTCGCTGCACACCATCCAAGGACAACCAGAAGAACATCACAGCGCCCCAGATATCCCCAGACAAGGGGCAGAGAGAGAGAGAATCTGGAGAAGAGCAGCAAGATGGTTCCATACACCCCAAGCTTTATTCAGAGAGCGTGCATCACCAACATAGCGCAGCAGACAAAGGATGTCGACAGGCAGGGGAGAGCACATGCGCGACATCCAAGAACAGCCGGTCGGTTCACGCGCAGGGGCGTGGGTGTCGCTTGAGGTCTCGGCCGGGTTCAGCGTTGCGTCCCCGACAGTGGAAGGCTCAACATACACGCCAAATGATTCCGACGAAGCTGCCGCTGCGGAGGAATCCGGCCGGAGGTCTGCATTAGATGTAGAAACACCACTTTCAGCAGACGGAACCGTCGTGAGGGGTTGTAAGTAAGCAACAATCGTTTGGCCAGGTTCACACCATGCCCAAGTCCACCAAGAAGGGCAACCGGAGAATGCTACCTCCCAGCCTGGTGGTGCGATTCGTGACAAGGAGTGCTTTAAACTGTCAAGGTCAACCCATCCATTCTCAGCTCGCAGGCGGAGCCATCCGCAGAGCATTGGCCTGCAGTCCAAGAAGCCCACGCACCTAGCGTCTATTTGATCGTGACGACGGCTTTCGCCAGCCGAGACCACAGTGCGACACCGCCAACCATTACAGACTACATCGGAGATGGGCGGCCCTGCTGGGACCATCACAAGCCATCGGAGTTGAAGGTCAAATCTCTGCGCAACGTCGGCTCGATAGAAAGAAGAGCGCGCGGGACGGAGAAAAAAGTGCCCATACATGCGGTCAGTGACGACACAGTAACAGGGGTCCCCATCGGGTTGCGAAAACACCGGGTCTGTGCTCCAAGCCAGATGAGAGCGCAGCATCTGAGTCAGCGAGACTGACTCCGGCGGCTGAAGCCCTCTGCGCAAGAACCGGATGCACATGCCAGTGGCAATGGCAAATTCTCGTTCAGGCTCAAGAGGTACAGCCTCGCCTGGAAGGAACACATCGCAATCGGCCCGAAGCGATAGGGAAGCCAACATCATCAGACCATGCCGGTCTATACGAGATGGGGCTGCAACAGCAAAAACTCTGCCATCAATCCCGGCGACATCAAGGCAAACAACGACACCTTGCCGGACCCAGGCAGGAATCATAAGTGCAGTGGCCCACCGGGTGTCGGGTTGTGGTTCAACAACAATTACCGTAGGAAATAAGTCTTTGTAGTCCAATTTCCGACAAGTGTCGAGGACATCCAGAGCCTCCTGGACACTTAAGGGCAGGGCCAACTGCATCCTAACCTCCTCAGGATGATATTGTGGCGCCAGGAGACAGAACCAACCTCAGTCAGAAACGGCATTGATGCCATATCATCATCAGAGTCGGCATCTGAGTCTGCCTGCATGATCATTGCTGGCAAATTTTGTCCAGCATCCAACGGCCAAGGTTCTCCGAGGCGGAGGGTAGCTTCTCGGGCTGCCAAGACGGCGTCGCTTGCACTGGACCCAGACACAAGGTTCTCAGCCAGCAGCCTGGCTGCCCGGGGGCCAAGGTTGAACTGGCAAACCCTAGCCAGGGCGGACAAAACCTCGGTATGGATAACACTCGCCCCAAGAAGGCCATGGGCAGAGCGGTCGGGGTATCCAAGTGTGCCCGCCTGCGTAAGGCCAGACGTAAAAGCATGAACTAGGCCCTCAGGGGGGAGAACAACCTGGAAATGACCTGGATCTAAGCGCAAAATCCGAGACCGGTCATTCACGTGGTCGGCCGCGGTAATAGCGCAAGCTGTACCCCCTGTACTCGGGACAGGAGCTCCTCTGGGAGAGCGGCTTCTATCATTATTGCGACGAGGGTTGGAGACTTCAATATCCAAGTCATGGTCGGGTGGCTGGAAAGAGTCGTCATCCTCGTCTCCTGTCGGGGGAGGCCAGTCATCGGGAGCCGGGGCATCAGAATTTCCATCCGAAGGCACGTCAGCAACAAACGCAATTGTGAGAACAATGCCATTGTACACAGTAAGGAGCGTGTCGGGCCCAAACGGGAATGTCGGAGCACCAGATACAGACACCTTGAAACTGGGAGGGCAAAGCTCTTGGAACATGTCCACAACGTCCTTGAGGTCAATTGAAGGCAGGGAAGCCAGAAACCATCTCATCCCGAGAAGGACAGGCCTGCAATCCAAGAACACGACAGAACGTTCTTCACGGTGGCGGGCTGGTGGGTATGGCACACGAGAGAGGGTCTCCGTTGCCAAGATGACCCCGCTAGCAAGAAGGCCTCGGTGGAAGAAATCAATAATGCGAGGTTTGGAGGCACGAATAGACAAACGCGCTTCGTTGGCCTGCAGTCTACTGACAAGGTCGAGTCTGAAGTGGGCTCTACGACCGGGGCCTACTTCAAACGTAAAAGGCTGTGCGTCGGTAAGCACCCAGAAGAACTGGCCCGGATAGGCGCCTCGGCCTGGGACATCCGCGTCTGCATTCCACCCGTCAGCGGACATGAAGCGCTCCTGAATGTCATAAGTCGCTGGCGTTCGGGCAGGGCATGGAGCTACAGAGATGAGCATCCCAGGAACGAGGCTAATAACTTGCCCAGGTGTGACAGGGTGCAAAAGGCTGTGTACGAAAACAACCACGTCACTGTCTATGGCCAGCCCAGCAGCTAAAAGTAGCGACTCACGATTAATGGGGCTGTGCACAGCAGCACAAAACACCGTCTGATTCACCCGGCTACAATCAAACAACACCGGCACCTGGGCACAAGGCCAACACGGTTTCGCCACAAGCAGGAAGTGTTCCAGGAAGGGCTGAGGGCTTACAGGGTGAAGATTAGAGAAGCGCCACACGGGCCCTTCATCTCGGGCTGCTTCGACGCTACGGACGGCCTGGTTTGCACTGCAAGGAAACTGGAGCCGAACCCGGACTATCTCAGGTGCAAAATCTGGAGTGAAGATGAAGGCTGTTACAAAGGACTCCGCGCCATCATTAGGATGAGCGGCAGCTAACGCCTGAGCTGGTGCCTCGGTGGTCCCAGGCGGGTCAACAACTAATATACCTACAACCTGCGGGCACTCAGCAAGCTCTGGGTCATCATCTTCAAATCCAAGTTCGTCACCAGGCTCCCAAACATGTTCCCCGGGGGCTGAAGTAGCGTTCCAGCTGTGCCCAGGAGGCAAAGTAGGGTCAATCTGTGGAGCATCCAATACACTATCGGGCAAAATTGACTCAAGCTCGGCAGCAGCTACTCCGTCCTCATCAACCTGCATGGGAGCACCACCGCCTAAAGGAGCTGCAGCGGGAAGGTCCTCATCTGCGCGCTCCCATGGAGGGAGATCTGGGATGGAGCTGGATCCGGAGGAGTCATCTGGTGTATTTTCCTCAGGATAAAAGAGCAGAGTGCAGCTACCTGTAACCCGAATACTGCTACCTGTCAGGACGCCTCCCAGGACCGCCACATGCAAATGCGGAGGCATCACAACTTCGAAATTGGAAAGCAAGCTTGGCAGGTGCAAGGAACGGACATGAGTGTGCACAAATCGCGGTTTAGACCCCAGTGGGCGCAAGTCGCACAGCACAAAGATGTCCCGCCTTTCCGGGGCGGGGTCAGCTTGAACGCCTGGTGGGACATCTGCGACAGCAACAACAGTGGGACATAGGAACCCCTGCACATCAAGGTCGTCAATAGGGAATGTGCACATCAAAGAGCGGGTGGCGCGCAATCCCAAGAATTGAGCAACATGTTGTACGAGAGTTTGCCCGTAGTGATAATGTTGGCACACCGTAAAACGCTGTTGACCATACAAGACGCATGTGGCTTCGTGCGTCTCAACTGGGAAAAAGTGCTCCATGGCTCCAAAGGGCCTGTTAAGCACCTCATTTGGCCAAATATGAGGCACCCTGGCAGTGCGTTCCCGAACTGCAACTATCACTTCCCCATCACGCAATGTGACAATAGCTGTTGCAGGCAACGGGTTGGTCCGGAATCCCACATACAGAAATATGTCGTTGTCATCACATGATGTCAAAGGACCGATGTATCCAATCAGTTCAGCATAACTCAGGGATTTCGGAAGCACGGTAGCGAAGTACGTCCCGCCAACACGCCCCAAGTCTAGCATGACCGCGGCATATCCATCCTGAATACCTCTGATGTGACTGGGAAACCGCAGCATAGTGAGGTATCCGGAGTAACGCTGTGGGCAGACAGGAACAACCGAATCAAACAGACCTTCAGGAACACCTGGAGAAGCATGTTGAACAATGTCGCGCACGTCAGCTGCCGTCTCATGCTCCAACAAGCGTATGGCAAGTGACACCGGCCGATAGTGTGGAGTGTAAACATAGACGCCCAGCCAGTCGCCTTCAGGCATATCATCAGAACCTGTGCGATGCAGATCCGAACGGAGCCTATCGCGGTAGCGATCTGCGCGGGAGGGATCAGTCCAAGGCACAGAAAGTCGACATTCCCCGTGCAAGGGGATAATCTCCTCCGGCCGCAACTCGTGGGGCCGTCTGGGGGGCAAAGGCAAATCATCGGGTGCAGCAGGACAGCTGACAGGGTCCGCACCAGCAATGCACCCCAAAACACCAGCGCAGAGGCGAGCGCCAACACCGAGCCTTGGAACACCGGGTTTGCGTCTTCGCGCTTTAGAGGATTGCCGCGGTGACCAATCAAGCACAGCATGTGGGCCCGCAGCCCCGCCAAGCGCAACAAGAATCTCCGTAGGAGAGGGAGGCAACAAAAGACTCCAAGGGGAGAGCGGTGCACTCTCCAGGGCGCAATCCACAGGGCGCACAACGACAGAAAGAGTATTCCAAGCAAACTGCGGAACAGCGGCACAAGGATTGCTTGCAAATGCCACAAAATTGCTTCGACAGGACTGGCGGCCTTAGTTCGAAAACAGGCAATAAACTCATGAATGGCAGGAGGCCCAGAGCCACCGATCCCCCTTTTAGGCGCGCATTCATGAGGAAATGCATGGTCACCACTGAAAGCCCAATCCCGGAAAGAATGGCGCCCATTGGCACAAGTCGCGACGACAGACAAAGCCGTCCAAGCAGGGACAACATGTTGATAGTCCGATAGGAAGACAGAGGGTCGAAGCCACCGCTTCCCTTGATCACCTGCAAAAACCGAACAGAAAGTACCAGAAACGGCGGGAGGCCCTGAGCTACCGATCCTCCTCTTTAGCGCCCGTTCTGCACAACAATCTGTAACTGAAGGTGCCGCCTGAGAACACCTAGAAGTGGAGGGCGGCAAAAGATAACGGAAAAAGTCCACGACAGCGACACGCTGAGCATGGCATGGCGAGGCCCCCCAACCGAGGACAATAGACCAATGTCCCGGCAAGAGAGCAGAGGAAGACAGCCCACCGTCCCTGCAAAACTCCCCAAAACCGAGGGTTCGTAGAGCCAGGGGCAGCGAAGTACATGGCAAACAAGTCAGAGCGGCGGGAGGCCCAGAGCCACCGATCCTCCTCTTAGGCGCGCGCTTACCTGAATCTCCGATGCACCCCAAATATTCACATGATTGACCGGCACGCCTCTCAAGGATAGCGTTACCTCTGCATGGCAATGAAGGCGTGCTGCATTTGGACGGCGAACAACATCTGTACAACAAGAGAGCCCATGCATCGCACGAGCATGTTAGAAACGGCCGGTCCTGAAGGGCGGAAAACCCGAACTCAGTCGTCACCTCCGTCAGGGCCAATGCATAGTCTGGAAAAGACAAGTCGTCAAAGCAGGCCCGCCGAGGAAGCTTAACCCAAAAAGCTTCGACGGCAGAGCGGCTCGCCAACTGTCTGATCAAACCCTGCAAAGGCCGTGACTCAGAAGAGAGAGCGCCTAGGTGGCTCCGCCAAGTGGTGCCGAACCTGCACCAGCGAGCAAGTTCCTCTGCTCCACAGTCGGCATGCCGAAAGGTCTCAGAGCTGCGCCGGGAGGCGGATGATGCACTGTCGGGGCAGGGGGCCCACTTCCTGCCACGGCGGTAGTAGCCAGAGCAGCAGTCCCGGGATGAGCCTCTAGACGCTTGGCCAAAAGTCGCTCTTCCAGGGACAGATCGAGGTCGAGGGCGGCTGTTCGCTCGGGCGGCTCTGGTCCCCGTTTCCTGATGATGACCCATAGTAGGCATCCTGGTCGAGGGCGAGGACTGGTACGGGTCTCTTCGACACTCTGTTGCGTAGGTCGCGTCCGCATTGGGTGGCAAGGCCAGCCCCGGAGGGACAGCGCCGTGCCCTACTGGGATGGTCGGACCCATAATAGGATCCCCAGCACGCCGCCTGCATCCTCGCAAGAGTTGTCTGATCCAGCCCAGGAAGACGTCTGCTCGCGCTGCCCGCGACTGCCAAAGCTTCGGCAAGATACCCAGAAGGCTCCACCTCCATATCCGGGCTCGCGCCAATTAGATCGTTCCAGGCCATATCTCCAGTATCGGCTGCCGGAGCTGGGCGAACTCCGCCCGCTACAAGCAGCTGTACCTCCGCCTTGAAGTCCGAAATAGCTTGCTGTCCCGCAACATTTGCGGACTCCAGGTCTTTCTCAGGTCCTGGTCGAACTGGCGTTTCTGGGCAGTGAAGGCAGCTTTCATTTGCCGTTCGTACATGCCCCACTGTTCCCTTCTCGTGAGCATCTGGTCTTTGATCTTCCGGGCACGTTGATCCGCTTTCTTTGCTGAAGTCACGGCTCTCTGGAGATCTCGTCGAAGTCCTCCTTCCGGATCGGACTCCTCTTCGCTGGTAGGTCTGCCAGCACCGCGAGCTCCAAGCTGGCCGTATTGAACATCTACCTGGTCGTAGCGGAGGGTCGGCGCCCGAGTCGTTGGTGATTGGGCCCCACGCCAGAGCTGCCACGAGGCCTGCGAGGACCGCCAGCCTGAATCGCGATCCCATGCTCGGTTGTTCTTCTTGCCTCCGCCCATAGAAAGGAACCGAAGTTCCCGAAACTGGGGTGCAGAGTGATGTCCAGCCAGGTAGCGCAAAGCGCGGGCAGGAGGTTGCCGACCAGCCGATCTGGCCAGATGTAGTGTTCGCCTGAGCCGACAGCGCTTGCGACGCTGCCTTCTGTGCCAAGGAGGCGATGACACAGGTATGGCTCGGACGCGTGCCTAAGCACTGGGGTCTCCGGCAATGCCCCTATCGGGCTCGATCCGAGACGCCTTGTAGGCGCCTTAATGATTACAATAGGGCATGTTGTACTATAATAAAGGAGCCCCCCAAAATAGTATAGGTAATTATTTAGGCCCCTATATGTCTTCTCATTGTCAGGACTCCTTCCAGACTTCTGATGGAGGCAGTTGCAGGATCAAAGCCCTTCGGCCGAACTGCGATCGCTTCACTGCTACACCCCCGAAACCTAACATACCAAGCCCTAAACCCAAAGCCCAACGTCCTAAACTTCAGGCCTTCGTCCCATCCGACTTAATCCCTAAACGCTAGGCCTTGATTGTTACACCCCAGTGGCCCCAACGGCCCTAGCCCCATAAACCCTAAACCAATCGCTCACCAATATCAAACCCATAGAGTCATAGCGAAACCGTTTAGGGTTTAGGGTTCGGGGTTTAGTTGTCGTCATCACCTTACGCTGTAAGAGCCGTATTACCTGTTAGAGCAAGAACCAACCTCAAAAGCCGTTAAGCACAACAGCAAAGCCCACGGAAACAAAGCACAACCCTTTGACAAAAAAGACTGCTATGCTTCGTTAAACAACAAATGCATCGTAACTTATGACCCTAAATCCTCAGCGCCAGGCCATGCTAGCAGCAGCCACGATGCTGAACCAGCGCCTCACAAGAAGGTTGCCTTAAGAACCCCATGCAAAGCCTAAGATATAGGGACTTTCATATTTAGAACATGACTCCTTAAGGGCTTTCTTCGAAAGGTGGCTCCACTAGAAGTCACTCTAGGGGTTCTACACTATGCGAGGCCTGAACAAATCTCAAGAGCGCTTGGGGGGTAGATGCGACTCTGACGAATATACTTCTCGGGAAGAACAAGCTCGGGACAGTAGTACCAGTTGGCCAACAGTGAAAGCAAGACCAGCCCGTCATCGTCACCGTCATCGTCATCATAATATTCTTCTTTACGCTTTTTCATCGCTTTCTTCATTGGTCGTCAGGCACCCCCTGAGCACAGGAATACTCGACTCCTCCATCCTGATGCGCTAAAGCCCAAGGCAAAAAGCACCCGTTTGACCGCTCAGCCCGCAACCTCCAGAACTCCAAACAGCAAGCTCTGGATCCTGAACCCTTACCAATCAACTATAACTAGAATACAACCATGATGCAACGCTAACATAATTTCACCATAGCTATAACATAACTACAACATTACTGTAACATAATCTTAACACAGCAACAACAACACTATAATACAAATATAAAGTACAGTAACTATGACATGACTATTTCATACAACTATAAGAATACATAGCCCTAAGCCATATTCAAATTATTGACAAGCTACACCGCCCTAAACCCTAAACTGGCCCTAAACCCTAAACCCCTAAACCTTAAACCCCAAACCCCTAAACCCTAAACCCCTCAAGCCTAAAGCCTAAACCCTAAACCCCTAAACCCTCGGTGCACGGGCCAGGCCTGTGCAACGAAGTCATGGGCGAAGTGCCGGCACCTTGCGCACTTGAGGACTGCAACTTCTAGGGCTTAAGGTTTAGGGCTTATGGGTTTAGGGTTTAGGGTTTAGGGGTTAGGGTTTATGGGTTTAGCGTTTAGGGGTTTATGGGTTGAGGGGTTTGGGGTTTAAGGTTTCGGGTTCATGGGTTTGGGGTCCAGGGTTCAGGGTTTATGGGTTATGGGTTTAGGGGTTTATGGGTTGAGGGGTTTAGGGTTTCGGGTTTATGGGTCTAGGGTTTAGGGTTAATGAGGCTTCAAAGTCTGGACCTTATCTGAATCCGATAGAGCCCATCTTTTATGAAGGTTTCTTATTATGCTTCCCACTATAAAATCCTTAAAGAGGTAGGGTATTTGGCTGGGGTTAAGGTTATGTAGGGGCCTTTATAATTTGAATAGGGTTTGGGGGGGTATATCATACTATAAACATAATCAGGAACCCCCCCCAAAAAAACCCTATTCTAATTGTTCAGGCCCCCTACATTAAACCTAGGCTCCAGACTCTGAAGTTTCATGATAGGCTTCTCTCCGCACAGCCGCACAAAAAACGAACCGAAACACCTGAACGAAACCTTTACACCCCTGTAACCTCCTAAACCTTCAACCCTAAACCGTAAAAGCTAAACCCTAGATCCAAGATCCAAAGCCCTAAACCCTACACCCTAAAGCCCTAAACCCCAAACCCTAAAACCCTAAACCCCAAATCCAAAGCCCTAAACCCTAAACCCCAAAACCCTAAACCCGAAACCCCAAAACCCTAAGCCCTCAACCCTAAAGCCCTACGCCCTAAAGCCCTAAAGCCGGAAACCCAGCAGTCCTAGGTTCGAGCCATATTCTCTGGTTTAGGGTTTAGGGTTTAGGGTTTAGGGTTTAGGGTGTAGGGTTTAGGGTTTAGGGTTTAGGGTTTAGGTGGGTCACATAGGGGCCTAGATAGTTTTTACAGGGCTTTGGGGTTCCTTTTAGGGGTTCCTTGAAGGGTTCTATGGGGGCT